ATGAAGGATAAGGAAAAGGGCAGAGATGTCAAGAACTTCAGACCAATCTTGCCTCTGATGTGGAAGTTGCTAACTGGTGTGTTATCAGAGATGTACAAGCACCTAGAAGAGAATGAATTACTACCAGATGAACAGAAAGGGTGCCGGAAAAGATCAAGGGGAACAAAAGACCAACTGTTAATTGATAAGGGGATAATCAGAAACTGCAAAAGAAGAGGAACAGGTTTAGGAATGGCTTGGATAGACTACAAGAAAGCCTTTGATATGGTACCACACTCGTGGCTAGTGGAAAGTATGGAGTTGTTCGGGGTAGCCAGTAACATGAAACATCTAATCTCAAGAAGTATGGAGGAATGGAAACAGAACTTACCTCCACATGCAAAACCCTTGAGGAAGTTAACATCAAAAGGGTTTTTTTTCAAGGCGACAGCCTATCTCCGTTGCTATTTGTAGTTGCCCTCATACCTTTAACGTTATTATTAAACAAGATGAAGGAAGGATACGAATTTGGAAAAAATGACATCAAAATTAATCACCTACTTTTCATGGATGACTTGAAGTTATATGGAAAAAATGAGAAACAACTTGAATCATTAGTCCAAACTGTTAATGAGTTCACAGACGATATTAAGATGGAATTCGGCATAAGTAAATGTGCAGTATTGATAATGAAGAAAGGAAAGATCACGCAGAGCGAGGGAGTACGTCTTCCCAATCAAGAAGAAATTAAGTCATTAGATGAGGGGGACTCGTACAAATACTTGGGAGTGTTAGAATCAGATGATATCATGAGCGAAGAAATTAAAAAGAACATCAAGAACGAATATTTGAGGCGAATCAAGAAGATCTTGAAATCCAAACTCAATGGAGGAAACATCATAACAGCAATAAATTCAAGAGCAGTTGCGGTCGTGCGATATAGCGCAGGCATTGTTAAGTGGACAAAGGAGGAGATGAGAAAAATGGACACGAAGGCCAGAAAGTTGCTGACTATAAACCGATGTCTTCATCCACAAGCTGATGTTGATAAGCTGTACGTAAAAAGATTGATAGGAGTTGAAGACTGTATTACCATCGAAGTCCAAAGTTTGAGTAGTCAATAGAAACAATGTTGAAAGCTGTAGTGAAAGAACAAGTCCTGAAAGAACAAAGACCGAATTCTGATAACATCAGGAAATAGAAATATGAAAGATATAAAGCAAAGGAACTCCATGGGAAATTCATCAGACATACTGAAGACGGAAGAGACGAACTTACGTGGGATTGGTTGAAGACAGAAATCATAAAGAAAGAAACTGAAGGACTAATAGTGGCTGCACAAGATCAAGCCCTAAGAACAAATGCCTTCAAAAAGTACATCGATAAAGCTGATATCTCACCAAGGTGCCGATTGTGCGGAGACAGAGACGGAACCATCAGTCATATCATCACCGAATGCAGGGCACTAGCTCAAAAAAAGTACAAGAACTGGAGACATGATAAGGTTGCGCAGATAGTTCATTGGGAGTTTTGTGGAAGAGTTGATGTAAAGAGAGCTGATAAGTGGTACGTTCATGAACCGGAGGGAGTGATAGAAACAGAAAGGTACAAGATCCTGTGGGACTTTAAGGTACAAACAGACCACCAGCTTGAACATAATCGGCCAGATCTCGTGTTTTATGACAAACAACAGCAGTCATGTCAAATTATTGATGTAGCTTGCCCATTTGACACCAGGGCGGAAAACAAGATGAAGGAAAAAGTCGACAGATATCAAGATCTAAAGAGAGAAATCAAGAGAATATGGAAATGTAAACAAGTCGGCCTCATACCAGTGGTGATTGGAGCCCCAGGAACCATCCATCGTGACATGCCAGAATGGTTGAAGAAGTTAGAGATGCATGAACTAATTGGAAAGTTTCAACAAGCTTGTATCCTAGGAACAGCAAGGATACTGAGGAAAGTCCTTGACACCTAAGGCGACGCGAAGCCGCTTGGTGTCAGGTGAAAACTCCAGCAACAACATCAGCTGTGCAAAAGAAGATAATAATACTACTAATAATAATGATCAGAATAATTATAATGATAATATTAATAAAAATAATGAAAATAAGATTATTAGTAAGAATAATGAAAAGGAAGATAGTAATGATTATAATGATAATATTAATAAGAATAATGAAAATAAGAATAGTAATAATGATAATGAAAATAAGAATAGTAATAATGATAATGAAAATGATGATAGTAGTAATAATAATAATGGTTGTGATGATAATGATTATAATATTAACAAAGATAAATCTAATCATGATAATAATCAACAATAATAAGAACAACAACAATGATAGTAAATCATTGCCATTATTATTATTAACATAATTACCCTCATTTATAGAAAAAAGAAAACACACACACACACACACATACACGTATATATGTGTGGGGCTTCGTGTATGTGTTTGTTTAATGTAAGTTGGTTAAATGTCTAGTCTTGTCTTCATATGACATCAGACTAACG